GAAAGAACGTAATAAAAACTGTTTCTGCCCATAAGTGTATGTTGTATAAGCATCGTGATGTCTTCAGGTTTAAGTTCAATTTTATCCCAAACACTTTTAAGTGCTACTCTTCTGAGACACATGCCTCGCGACAATTTCAATTAAGAACACTTACATCTATTTTATGTTACAAGATGAAACAAAAGGTACAAAAATACTAGCATTTTGTTTTCATACATTTTTGTGTGAATTAATTATGATAAATAAAACATTTAAATGATGTTTTTTTTTCTTAGTTTATTAAAGAATTTATAATTATACTGAAATTTGAAAATACTTGTAATTGCTATACAGCCTCTTTTTTTTAAACATAAAATAAACATCTTTTTGAGTACAAACATACTAGGTTTGATACGTTTTTTTTTCCATACACTATAGATAAACACAGTATAAGAATACATAACGTCATTATAACTGGCGTTTTATAGTGAGGACCATATTAACTTGACCAACAATAGGGAGTAAAGCTTTTCCAAACTTTTTTATTAAAAATATTCAGTAAGAATTTCGTAGATTTCACAAAAAAATCTGCAATAAACGTGTTTTACAAAATATGACTATGCTAGGTTCATCGTTAACATAATTTATTTATAATATATTGTCAGAAAATGGCAAAACATGACTATTAAAAATTAAAAAGTAAAAAGCATGTTCAATTAGCACTTTAATTTTGAAAGTGTTTTGTTGGACCCATTTTTTTTTTAACTCTATCCCTCTGTGATACATTCTCTTGTAATGATTTTTTATGCAAACTAATACAGCTATAATCAGCTAAAACAACTGTAGCACAATTCTTCTACTTTGTGTCAAAAAGATATACTAAAAGGCAACAGAATGCAAAAACTGTGTTTTTTTACCTGTTAAAGTTTTGGTTAATTGTGATTATCTTTAAGTTGCTATGACATGATGTTTCTTTTCCTCTTAAATGTAATAAATATTTATTTTATATCTTACCACAAAATTCAATTAATATATTATTATTGCACTAAAATTGTGAAATAAGGGCAAGTTTAAGGAGCTTATTATTTTTTGAACGCGCTTTCTTGGGGCTATTTTACCCCACCCACTTTTGCAGCTGTACTCTTCTGTTACAAATACGTCAGGATATGAATTTTTATGCTTAAATTATCAAACAATGTTAAAATGATAAAGAACATACAATTAAAAACAATTTTCCTACACATTAAACTGAAATTATAAAGTAAAGGCAAGTTTTGAGAACATTGTAATTTTTTTTTTTTTTTCGGTGATATTACCCCACCCACTTTTGAAGATCTACTCTTACGGCATAAATGCCCAGAAAATGTTTTTTATGCTTAACTTGTCTAACTATGTTAAATTGATAAAGTACACACACTTTAAATGCATTTTTGTTTATATTGTGTAAATACGGAAAAACGAAAGTCATCATATTGTCAAAAATGCTGTTTTTTACCACTTTTTTTGGTAAATTAATAGTGATAATTTAAAAGTTTGCCATATAATTGTCATTTTTGCTTGATTGAACCATAAATTAGCCATATTTTATCTGATATTGTGCAATTGAAACTACTTTGTACAAAATCCGTATGTAAAAAATCAAGAAACAAAAATTATATGGTATTTTGTAATTTATGGCGGCCATATTGGCGGCCATCTTGGATTTTTGTACTTTTGCCCGGGCTGCGTAACTTAAGAAATGTGTTTTTAGAAACTGCAAACAATATGCTTTATAATGGCAATGTTTCTTTTGATGATACGGTAAATTGCAATAAAACCCCGCCATCTCTTGGACTAAAACCGAAATGTATTTTATGAACTAATTCTCATGTATGTGAAACATTCGCCGACTTAACAAGTTTACATCTAGTCATTATGCTAAATCACTCAAATTTCTCTTTCATTATGCTTATTGCAGCCAAAATGTAGGCGCCACGAAAGAATACACCTAAAGATTCTCAATAACAGCTGTGGGAAGTGAAACAAAAGCATTTCTTGTTAAATGACAGTCTCAGTATTTCTGATTGAACTCAAACGAAGGATCTATCAATACCAAAGGGCGTGTCTTACAACTGCATATCTACATCACAAATGTAAAATTTATGATGCGTGCTGTCCATCAGGGATCACACTTCACACGTCTTGTTTTGAGATAACACAAGTGAAATTCAAGTAAAATACGAATACCTTAAACTGTATAGACACATCTGACAATACAGATTCTGGTCAGAAAATGTAATGTTAAATTGCATCCAGTACTAGCTATATATTGCCAGTATGCATTTTACATGACATTATCGTTTTTTAAGCTCAAGCTATTTAATTACAAATCTATCGATACTATTTATCATATCCAAATTATCTAACCAAAATTAGCTTATTCCCAAAATGAAAATATTGCAATGTTAGCGTAACAAAATGGGTTTGATAATGGCCGTCAATAAAGCATTATTTCTTATATAAAGACCATTTTAGTAACTGTATTACTTCAAGTAGATACGAACGCTTATAAGAGGATATCAGTCGTGATTTGAAGAAGGTTCTATAATATTGGGTTCATTTCTGTAAAGATGAACAATACTGTTAAAAGAAACTTTTATCAGGAAATGTAAAACGTTTGTGAGTATGAGTAATGACTTGCTAACCGTTCAGTTCGGTCATAAAATTATATTTTTGTGAAGTGCAATCTATATAACACGCTTATGTGACCGTCTCGCAGTTTGCAGAAAAGCAAAATGGTATTTGAATCAATTATTTCAAAGGGATAAAAATCACCAAAGAGGCAAAATGCGAAATAACTGTTAGTTTATGATGATTTGAAGTTATTCACACCTGTTTGTGTTTACTTTAGTCTGACCCCTATAATGTACAAATAAACAACATTAAAACTATGTTAAAATGCAAGGATTTCATTGGGTTAAGGGTTAAAAAAGTTGAACTTGTGTGATAAAATATACGGCTTAATTGAAATTTTGTATTACTTTTTAAAAGCTTAATGCCATGTCCTATATATTTACAGTCGTCTAAATGACCATCAATAGTAATAAAGTGATTTCGAACCCTTACTACTCCAGCTAATTTTATTTGGTAATAACCGGGTACGACCAAAATTGGGTACGAACTGGATGGCCGATATCCGGGATTGAGGCATGCGCAGAGAGTCAGATCCTGTTACCTTCCCGAAGCACAAAAACATATTGTTCAACCCGATAATTTATCTGGTGCCATCTTGCTGATTTACAGCAGTTGTGAGCAGAGATTCAACTGTAGACGGTTGCAAAAGCCACCCTTCTTATATTTGACTCGGTAAAGTTACAACATTTATTAATACAAAATACTATAAATTCATGACTCAAAAATTGTTTTAATGTTTTTATATGAAATTAAACATACAAGCTGCAAGTAAAAAAATTAATATTTATATCATTTGGATGAGATTTTAAAACCCCAGGTCCCGTGTAAATGTGCTTCACACATGATTGTAAAATAACTAGTCATATCTTCATGAATGGTGTTAATTCTGTATCCGTTGGCTTTTGCTCAAAAAATCAAAATTACTAGCACACTTTTGCATGAGTTGCCCGATGGCGTATATTAATTCAATTTCGATATGCGTTTAATTCTGATTGTGTACGTTAATGTAATCACATGTAAATGTAATTTCGTTACACGTTCATGTTCACTTCTTTTCTAGGCTTGTTTTATAAATATAAAAAGGAAATAATGAAATATGATATCCGTAATATAAAGAAGTACAAATGTAATATAAGCAAAAAGCATAAACTATAAGACAGCTAACATATGTGAAAAGTTAAAATTATAAAAGTAATTCTGGACAAATCTATATTTCAACTCCACAGTATGTAAAAATGTCTGCTTCCTATAATCGCAAGAAAAATTACAAGTTGAGCATATTATATTAGCTTCAAGGAAAGGTACAGTGATTGGAACTAACAAGTGTTACAAGAAAGACATTTCCTAACCTTTAGGTCCATAATAGTTTAAAAATAGGTCTGTATAACGCATTGCGAATGACACAGTTTTCATATAATAGATAATTACACATAATATTTTGTCATTCACTTGTTTCATATATAAGATTTCCAGCTTTATCATTTATAAAAGCCGGAAGAAGGATTTTACTTAACAAATATGACATACGAGCAAATTACTGCTATCTAAACTTAAAGTTTTATCTTAGGTTTCTATTTTAATTGCATGCCTTCAATTGTCTTTTGGGTAGTGTCATCTTTTTATTATTATAATTTTGTTATTTCATTATCACTGCTGATTTCATGAACTTCAACATAAGTACATGTAGCTGGAAAAAGCCCGCGTATTCCCTTTGCCGTTGTCCCTCTCCACCAATCATCATTTATCGGTTCTATGTTTGTTATTATGTCGCCCGGATCAAAAGATATCTGGTCATCAGTCTCTGTAAAGATTTTTACATTTATGATTAATTACCGCAAAATAATAGCATTTGAATACAACACATTATCATATAGCTTTACAAACAGAGAATATATATCCAATTGATTTGCTTGGTTGTAGTACAAATGTACTTCTTTCCCATTTGAACTTTTAAACAGTATCTTAAAATATTTTTCTCATTCATTTTATATTTCTGTCCTAATATTTATTTGTCTTCTGCCGATATATATGTATTGTAATGCTATTAACATATATTTATATATATTGTTTAATACAATAAAGTTAAATACATGTATTTGAGTTGAGTGAAAAGCACACTATACACAAAAAATTTCATTCGTAACAAGTACCTGCAGTGTAACCATACAAGGCAGTTCTATCAAATCCTTGAATAAAATCAACATTTCTGTTGCCTGTACTTTGATCATCATGAAGGTCTGAAGTATTAAATGATCGACATAAAAATGGAATTAAGATTAATTATAGTATTGCATTTTTTGCAATATAGATTTCATTTCAATAAAACGAAATAACAATATAATTGGTCTTCACCTACTTATCACATAATTTGCTGGAAACAGCCCACGTTTTCCACTTGCTGTTGTTCCAATCCACCAACCAGCATCTATTGGATCTATGTTTGTTATGATGTCGCCTGGGTCAAAAGAAATCTCGTTATCAGCCTCTGTACAAACATTTAATATAGCATTATTAAGACATTGAATTAACGAAGGATAAATCGTCTTAAGAAAAATAAAGGAAAACAGGATCAGTTTATTTATTCTGACTAGTTATTAAAACCAAATCCAGAGTGTTACAGTTTGAAATTTTTCAGTTGAGCTACATAAGATATCAAGAGTGTTTAAAGATCATAAAAAACAATCCGTTGTGATTTAACCAAAACATTTCATCCTAATTTTTATTCTTAGCAATTCTTTTGATAACAAGTAGTTGGATTTAAAAATACATTATAAATGAAATTTGTTACAAACATACCTGCTGTGTAATCGTACAAGGCTGTCACATCAAATCCTGGTGTAATGTCAACATTTTTGCTGCTTGCAGTTTGATCAACATGTGCATCTGGAACAATAAATGACCAACAAAACAGATGTACTTGCAATGCTTTTGAACATAAATATTACTTGAAAATAAAGAAATTTACAATACCGATTGGTCAAACTTCAACACAATGTGATTGAAAGATGATGTAACTATAAGACTTATTACGACTTTCTGTATATATATTTCTTTGCATATGTACAATGTTGAAATTACTTCGAATTGCTATCTAAAATCAAGAAAATCTTCTCATAAAATATGTATTGTTTTGCTATTTATAATTGATGTTGAATTTATAAATATCAGTAAAATTCATTAAATTCTAACAATTTGAAGTTTTTAGAAAAGTAGATTTTATAAGAAGTTTGAAAATTAAATGATGAAGAAACAATATGCATAAAAACATGGTAATGTTAAAACTTTATAGGAAACTTCAATTTCATGATAGTTTACTAAGTGTTAATTAACAAATCGCCTTAAAAAGTTAAACATGCCATATGTACCTAAAATTCCATTATGGATGCGTCAATAAGAAATGATTAAGAAATGCAATCTCAATGGGCTTGATTCTTGATTCTTTTGATTCTAATTATTGAAGTACTTAACAACTCTCCATACATTCCGTTAACTTTTTTAAATTGACAAAAAAGCATTGACTAGAATTATCATTTGCTTTTTTTAAAGCATTTTTATCTTAAGTACTGTACCAGTTTTGTATAAACTGGTTATTAAATGTTAGTGTTTACAGAAATTAAAAGATATCTAAATGAACTAAGAGTTCCAGTTTTCTGTTGTAACCAAAAAGAAAACATGACATACCCACATTATTCAGATTGCCATCAACATAGGAAATCTTACTTCAACCCATGTTCATGTTTTGTTTCATAGAGCAATAAGGTAATTCTATACAAAATATTACTTACTTTACCTTTTTACCCTACCTTTCATACGTGTTAAAAAAGGAAAAATTACCAGAAAACCATACAAGGTACAATTTGGTGTACTCTGTTTTAAATCTTAGATAATTCAATATTTCAGTTGAAATTTATCAAATTATTTTTACATTTTAGATTATTCCTCTTTCCGAGCTGTACAAACTAATGACGAAAACTTGTTTTATTTTGAATCAAGATTTTATTTATTACTAGACTTCACATTAACAAGAGTATGTTCCTTTGGATCACCCATTTTTTCGTTAGCTCTTCTATTTTAATCTTTAATGTCCCTCTCTTCAGTTCTTCTTTTTCAATTTTTAATTCCTATCTCAGATGTGCTTATCCGAAATATTGTGAAAAGACCGACATAAAAATGTCTTTAACATTTATTTAAGACTTAATTTTATTTTTTATGTTTGTTTCTATGCATGCAATAATTCTTGATCTGAAGTAAAACTGATTTTATAAGGTGTAACACCTTAACCAGTTGGTACGTATCGCATTTTCTTTATAATGTTATACGAACTCAAATATTTCAATTGATAAATATTTTCACCAAAACAATCATCTGACACACAATTGTGTGGCAACTTCTTTTATTTAATTGTTAAATGTATTTGAGCACATCAACAGACATGCAGTTTACAGCCTCTTGTATTGTTTTGAAATTATCAGTTATAAACGTTTTGTCTTAAACCGAGAAGCAACCTTTTATACTAATAAATTGAAAATTACTCACGGAATTTAAAGGGAGAATGTTGCACAAATAAGATAAATAAGACCAGAGGCATCCGCTGACGGTTATGTTTATGTGAGCAAGTCTATGTTCGTACGTATCTTCCATCCTCAACAAAAAGACTAGTTAAAATACACAATTATTGACTAGTATGCTTTTGATGATCATTATACGAATAGTCTAAGATTAAAAAAGCAAAATGTAAAGTTTAAACAATACTATTGTATGCCTAATCACAGGGATGTTTTTATATAAGAATTCTTGGTAATAAGTAAAAAAGCAACTACTGCATGTTTTCATTCAAGCCTGGTAAAAGAGAAAAATAAAGAAATTGACGTCAGACGATCAATGACTACTCGAACGATGCGCAAACAAAAGTAATTCAAGAATATAATCATCAATATGGCGTAACTTGAAATTATTATAGTGAAGTTGTATTTGCTGATTATCAAATTAGTCTATAAAAGACAAAACCCAACGATTAATTTTTATGAGTACGCTTAAATTAATAATCATAAACTTTGTTAAAAAGTTCGTAAAATTCAAGTAATTAGTATTTTACCTAAATGAAGAAGTTAACGGTTATCCGAATTGGTCATATAACTTATACATGTTATAACAAACTCTTTTTTTGGATACCTACATAGTCCGATTATTTGAAATCTTCTCTCGGCAATGAATTATCGTAAAAAATCACAAAGTTTACCTTTTGAGAACTTTTCTGATTCCAAAGCGTTTTCAAAATCATCAAGATAATTGTAAAGCCAATCAAATGTAGGTCTATGGTCCGGAATTTGATTCCAACATTGAATGATCGTGTTGTAAAATTCAACAGGACATTGGACTTGTCCTTCTGGTATTGGTAGCCGGAAATTCCCACTGAAAAAATCATGCAAAGTCCTTTCCTTTTCCAAACCTGTAAGAGGTGCGATATAACATTATTTGAAATATTTTGAGAATGAGCAATAGAAATCTAAAATGTTACAATGTGTTTTTTTAGAAATGATTATAACATAAGCTTTGAAGCTACTTAAAACAATACTTGTATGCAATTCGCCTTTTTATATTTGTAGATAGATAAGAATAATTATAATTATAACGGCGAGCGGTATTGGGAATTTACTGAAAAGGGCAATGAAAAATAAATAAAACTCCGTGACCTACCAAATGTTTGCCCTAGCTAAGCTCCCACTTTTATACCGTGAGAAACCTCTACTGAGGCAGACACCAATATAGGCAAATAACAATTAATCTAAATGGCTGCTTTTTATCCCGTTTTAAAACATAATTGTCGAGTAACAATTATGTTTTGAAGTGCACCATACAATAAGTATCAGTTTTCAATCTTGGTTTCCAAATGCTAGATGTTGACAGAATCATTTTTGGCTTTACGTTTACGAGAGGGGGGGGGGGGGTATTCACCCCTTCATGCATTTTCTGTGAACACTCAGCTTCTATGACTTTCTTTTCTGTGAGGTTTTAAAACTACCCTCGAGATTTTGCCATGAATATAATGAGAAAACACACCTTAAAATTCGGAACTTTAACAAATACTTACACATAGTTAAAGTTTTGAAAAGGTGAGCCATGAAAAACTTCTATTGAAAATGCATAATTATAGTTCATGATGTCAAACACTTATATGGATCAGAAGGGTCGATGGCCGGATCCGTTCTCTTTTTTTCTATACATAAATGATCCCCAACAGGATATCAAATTAAAAATTTCCCTATTTGAAAATGATACCACTATATACCTAACATACACATCAAGTCGCAATCAAACACCCTTCAAAAAGACTTAAATGCCCTAAAAATGAATAACGATCGGGACAGCATTGGACAGGATGAAATATTCCATACCAATTTACTATTCCTTTATGGAACTATATTAGAGGTGGTTGCATCTACCAAATTTCCTAAATGATCTATAATGGAACGGGTACATAAACACGTCAATCAAAACGGCAAACCAAAACAGTGACTCAGAATCCTTTAAGGCTATATTAATTAATAAAGTTGCTTGTTAGATCACGAATATGAATTTGAAGTTTGACCATTATTCCCAGTGTCAAATGCGAATTAATCAAATAGAAGCTGTCTAGAGAATATCTGCGATATGGGTCAAATCTGACTTTAGACGCACATTCAGTGTTACCCAATTGCTACAATCACATAAAAGGTGCTAACTCGACGTACTGGCTCTCCATAATGTAAACATCACCAATGATATAGTCGCCATTCATGTAAAAAGTTATCTAGCATTATCTGAGAGAATGTATTGAGTATTTGAGGGATGCCCTCAAACGGCAATTAAGATAAATAGGTATATATAATTTTTCTTAACATTTTTACTCTTAACTTCTATAGCTAATTATGGATTAACCTGCATACGGCACTTCACCAAAAGTGAGTGTTTCATAAATCACAACTCCAAACGACCATACGTCAGACTTTGTACACAATACACTTTCATCTGTTATTACTTCCGGTGCTATCCATTGCCATTCCGTGTCGCCTTAATAATATAAATATATCATGAAAAATCAAGCAAATATCAATAGATTACCTTGCTTGCTCTTTAAAAGTGAAATGAGTTTTTTGTCATTTATTTTCAAGAAATGAATAACCTTTTGAAAATAGTGATTAAAAATGTAAAGACTATTCTTAACTTTTCGGGAAATATTACCGTTTTTAATTGAATTCTTACTTACAGTACTTATGATTCAATCTACGTGGAGAGAAAACGTTTATATGCATCATATATTAACTAACAATAACTGTCTTGAAATATCTACCTTAAGGGGAAACATAAATGAATTTATCAGACATCACATATAATTTGAGAATTGGATTCTGATATCATACTACAAAAGAGTTTAAAAAAGAACTCCATACCTTCTTCATGTTTATCATTGACACTCGTTCCCATAAGTTTTATGAGTTTTGGATGCAATATCTTAAGTTTATCATGCTCACAAATTAAGACGTTTTCCGCTTTCAAATTTCCATGGACAATACCTTTTTCTTCCAGAAACGCCATACCTTCAGCAATCTAAAATTGAATCTTAATATGAATCACGACACAAGCTTATATCGATGAGTACAAATGATTTTGTTTGTTGCAAATATCGAACGAGGTTTTTATATTTTAATGTCTTATCAAAGACTCTGACAATAAGATATTGGCTGTCTAAGGGGTTACGAATAACTCCACCATCTCTATGTAATGTGATCAACTTTAATAAAAGTATTTCAAGGTATATAGGATTTTCGGAGTGGACACATTTGTTCTTTAAGTCTTGCATTGACCTTGAACAAACACAGCGACAACATAGGTTTTGCACATCACCTTGTTGGTGTACATTTTTGTGCCAAGATGGAAAATAGGTTGCAATGGTTTTGCCCATAGCTTTGTTCAGGTAGGCATTTGAGCCCAGATTTCATAAAATCCTTTCTGTGACTGACCTGTCGGAAACGGATAGCGGCTTAGTGAATCCAGTTTCCTCATGGACGTTAGCGGCAACTGTAAGCTTCCGTCTTCGCCTCTATAAATCATTTATTATGCAAACACTTGTGGATTGCTATATACACATCTTTATCTTAATTGAGCTACGAGTTTTTACAGATTTTGCCTGCATGCAAAATGGGTTTCATTTTTAGCAAAACAATTTGCATGGTCATTTCGATATACCTCTGCAGCCATGTTTGTCATCCTTTTAAAAGATACTCCTGTTTGATCACATTTCCTCAAATAATTTTGCAGCGTATCTTGAACAGTCTCCAAGAGCACAATCATAAATGGTTTGGGTTTTAGTACAACAGCTATCACTCTGACAAAATGTTGGCTGTGAAGAAATTCGTATAGATGATTAGCTTCAGCCAAAAAATGTCCTACTTCACTTTTGCATTCGGTTACGATAGTAACATCAAAGATGTTGCACAATATTCCTGTAAAAGTTTAACATACATTTTTAAATTCTATACAAACTAAATGTTTGCTTTTACTCTCTAAAATAACCAATGTATGCAACATGAGACGATTTTTGCCAGTAAAAAATGATACTAGCATCACAATGCTCAATCTTATAACAAATAATAAATAAAAATGTTTTTGTAATGTGTACTAACAGGTTATGTGTACACAACAAAAGAGCAAATACAAGTTGAAAATTTATTTAAAATTTACCGTATTTATCGATTTGACATAGAACACGTCAAAAAGCGTTTTTATATTTTTTGTTCGTACTGAATAATCATTCAAAATAATTTAAAGTAAACTATTCCGGAGAATATAAAATGATTAAGCAATGAGTAATGTAACTTTGCTCAATAAGGTTAACTATGCAAAACACAAACAGTAGTTTCAAAGGCTTAAAAATGCAAAGCGAAGTTTAATTACTTCGACACCTGACACTCTCTACGTTGGGTATAAAATAGACCCAGAAAAATCCCGAAAGGGGAAATAAATAAGTAAAATGACTTCACATCAAATTATGTAAATAAATATGAATCAAAATAACAAACTTTTTATTTTCAAATTACTGCTAATCAGTATATACTTAAAAGAAAAGTGTTTGTTATTTTGATACATTTTTTTGCAAAACAATGTTTGCACGGCCTTTGGCAATGTTAAGTTGTTACAATACTATTTGTCTCAAAATCAGAAATAAAGATATACAAACCTTCATAAAGGACTCCAAATTTACCAACTTTTATAGACTTTATAATATCAATAGATTTTTTATGAATTTCTATACTCTTTGGGTAAATAACAGGTTTTTGTCTTAGGGCAGGTATTTTCAGTTTCCATCGCAGTCCATATGCTTCACCTTGACAAAAATAACAATTCAGTAAATTAATATAGTTTGCTTTAACTTAAACGAGCAACCAATTAATACATACAGATGCATACACAAGTAATTCAACAGTTTTATAAAGATAAAAGACAATAATGAAGACTATATTTCTTAATTATAATTTACATTTATCACATTGTTCTTTATTTATACCGACAATTGTTTGCCATTTGGTTTTGAGCATTTTTTGTCCAAAAAAAAGACATCGAGTGTATTTAGTTTTCTTTTAGCAAGGCATAAATATTTATCTCATTCAACATACTCTCATATCAACTATTGATAAACTACCATAATAACAATCTTTTGAAATAGTCAGTTTTCCTAAACTTGCTAATGCAAAAAATGAACGTAATGTTACTTTAAAATTTATAATATTCAATTTAAATAAGGTATCTAGAATAAACACCAAACAATTACATACGTTTGTAATGATCAACAAGCGCAAAAATGTCCTTAAATTGCTTGCCATAGGATATGTATAATCTACCGAGTCGTGATTTGATAGCGTAGTGAACAATTTGCTGTGTTTTGTTAGGTGTAGCCGGAACAATCATCGATAATGCATAAATGTTGTCTCCTTAAATAAACAAAATACAAATGCCAATGATTTCTTGGTATTGTTCGTGCCAATCATGGGATTTGTCATCAAATTTAGCTTTATCATTTGTTTTTAAAGTCACATATTGTCAGTAATATACATGTATTTGAATATCACCAAACAATATACTATATAATTATATCTTTAATCATGACAAAAGCGTTTGCATACATTAACTAATTTATTAAGTTTTTTGTGGACAGCTTTAGTTTTAATTTAATCGTTATTGAAATTTTATTCTGAAAATGACTTAAAGGGACTCCACTGAGGTCTTTTGACATGACGAGACTGGAAATATTTTTTTTGAGATTATTACTCTATTTGATGTAGATCTATACCAATAACTTATGTGCAAAATTTCAGATCATTAGTTTGCTCCGTTTTTCCAGAATAATTATTATAATAGTGAAAAATGACCCAAAATTGAAAAGCGCTTAAACGCTTTTCACTCAAATCGGACTGAAAATAGCACAGACATACGATTTTCAATATAATTCTTGTATATTTCTTAATTATATCTTATTTATATTTCTGTTTTAAGTGCTCATGTTTATCTATGTGAAAAATTAAAATTTTATGTTTTTAGGCTTATATATCTCAGTGGAGTTCCTTTAAGGTATTACCACCCTAACGGGCACTATAAGGAACTGAAAAAATTATATCATAGGTAAGATATTTACCTTGAAGTACACCTGTATGCAAAAATTAAACAAACTTTACTGTACGAAATCGAGTTATGGCCACTTTTATGAACTGAAGCTAGGGTGTATGAGGGTCATTTTTCAGAAATGAGTAACCTTTAAAAAATCTGCAATAACATTCTAATGAAAAACGCTTTCTCATTAATTTTTGGTAAGAAACAAAACGTACTATTCAGCTAACAATCAACATAAACAAAATTATGGTTTCTACTCAAAATTTATAAAATATGTATAAAAATGTTACCCTACCCCACCCATTTTTTAACACGTTTTTAACCATTTTTCTTCTTAGGGATCCTAATTTAAAAAATCCTTAAAATTTACTCAAATGAGTGCCTGTTTTCAAAGTTTCTCTAAATTTTTAAAAAAGTATATTTGGTTGATCTTGTAAAATATTAAATACTTTTACCGTCTAGTTTTGATTTTATTCCACTTTGAAAATATCAGGTACCATATTTATTACTAGATTAAGCATTATTTAGCCAATAAATACCTGTATAAATTAAATAATAAATTAAACACTGTTTTCTATCCAAAATGGATGGAGAGATACATAAATAATGCTAAAAGAAAAAAAAAAGAAAGAAAAAAAAAGTTGACCCATCTGAGGTTTGAACCCATGGCCCTCATTTTCAATGTAGTAAACTGTAGTTCTAGCCTATTTGAATACTCTTCAAAGCGGAGGTAAGGCATCAGGATGGTAATACCTTAAGGTAACATGGTCATGACACCTAAGGTTATACAGGAGACACGTAGAATAACTATGTGACTTCTGTCCCTTTCCTCCGCACTAACACTTAACAAAATTTTGCTGAGCAATCACAATTTATTTAGGCATATTGTGGACTTTCTTTTTATCTCAGTTAAAATACTGTCCAAAAAATCAAATATGAATGCTTATTCTTATACGTTTTGCAACTTGATTTTATATTCTGTATTGGAACAATAATAAAAAAATCCTAAAAGAATAAAAGAAGATGACATGTGGTTAAAGTGTCTGCTTTTCCGCTCAATGGTTCTTGTTTTCTAGTCTTATCGTGGTCACAATTATGTATACTTTAATCAAATGTGGTAAGTTTCAGGTTTTGCAAATCCGGGATTTTCCCAAACTCAGCTGCCATTTCTTAAGTAATTAGGGAATAAACGAAGAATTCAGTCAACAATGGGTATAAAGTTAAGCAATAAATTTAAATTTCACATATTATAAATTGATTATGTGCGCTTCGCTATCACATATTAAATACAAATAAAGGACGGTGTTCTGTGGTTGTTTCTTTTTTATTTAATTAGTTGCACCAGAATCACAATCATCGAGTAAATGTTTGAACGTTATACAAATTGTTTCTTCAGTTTACAGTTGAAATATTTTTACTGTGCTTTTTGTTCCTCAGACAAATTGTCATTCTTCAATTTGTAAACTAGATATGACCTAATAAAATAGATATGACTTAATAAAATAAATTTGTTGCAATTGTCTCATATTAAGTAAGTCTAGCGTTGTCTCAATATTAGCTAGGGTATTAATTTGTCCTCGAAAGTTTGAAATGTTTATTTATGTGTTCATTTAAAAGTTACATGTATTTGTATGAACACTTTATTTTTGTTGTAATTTAAATTAAAAAATCAAATAATATTATTTGACATTAAAGTTTTTAAATTAATTAAATTAAAAAGAACATTTACAGTGACGAATATACTAAATGTTTTCACAAACATACCGTCAGAAGGCCTTACAAGGTATGTTCCTGCTGTAGGTCTGTGAAGGTTAGATAACAAAATTGTCGCTTCATCCCTTCCTATATTATGCCACCAACTGCAAAAAGCCCAATCATCAATGTACTGAATTATCATTATTGATTAAATAGTTGATAATCATTTTACAAAAAAATGATTTTAAGAACTTTCTTTAAGTGAATCAAGTGTAACGTAAACGAATCCGATAACTATGTCAATATTAAAATAATTTTTATCATACTCTTGTGCAATTAGTTCAGGATCATCTTTAGTTACGTATGAAACTGGAACGAAGCCCTTTTCTCTCGTCAACAAATGTTCTGCGTAACACCATTCAGAGTTCTCACTGAAAAGGATACATTTTTTGTCCGACTATTTGATGAAACATTTGTGATTGAAAGGTTTACATCTTTTTAAAAAATGTAAAAATTATTTCTTATTTATAAACAATTTGTATTGTATCAGTTTTATCAAACATTAAGACTTATAATCAATAGCTCGTCAGTTGCTGAGCGGTTGTCGTTGAGTATCGGGTTCTGTCATGTGAAAAAGATATGGTACTCGCTTACGGAACGTCTTGTTTATACTCAGTTCATGCTCCGGCCAGCCAGATTTATTTTACCAGTAAAGCAGAAAAGATGCTAGATGAACCTTACAATGTTGGTGTTACTTAATACTAAAGAAATTGAAAAAAATTCGAATAATTAGTATTTGTATTAACTAGACTATACATGTATTAAAAAATATAGGTAAAAGCTAGTGACATCCTTAGTTTGTTTCCGTGAATTACCTTACGATATCTTCAAGGATTGTTAGCTCATCAAACTTTTTAAAGGTCATCTCTTCGTCAGAAAGTTTTTCAAAATCAAAAATTGCTGTAACATTCTTCATTCCCGACACCGACGAAACTAATTTGCATAGGAAATAAAAGATTAAAATTAAAAATCGACAAGCTTTATATAACAAAGGCGCTAAAGGTCTCATGGCTTTAATTTTGTGTTCAACATTGTTTATACTTGTTTTTATCTATTATCTTTGACGCCACTGGTCTCAAGATAGTAAAATGAAATAAAATCTTAAGTGAGTGGTAAGTACTGTTCTTGTTAGGTTTAATGTGTTAAACTATTATTAAGAAGGAATGTTGACATAAGCGCCAAATTATCGTGTATCTAATTAATTTTACATTATCTACAGCATTATTAACGTAGTAGCCAATAAAGAAAGATGATTTATTTAACATGGTAACGTGTCAAAGAAGCAGTAGATCGGAAAACACTGGTATCCGGTACGCCCGAGGTCGTACATCGTTATTTGTTAATAAGAAGCCCTAATCGTATTTCAGGCTAAAGTTTGAATCGATAAACTTGTCAGCATATGATATAATTCAATTATAGTTTTATTGTCACAACTACTGATATCAAAACCAAAGCAGTTTATGCTTTTCCGACCATGTTTGATGCGATGCCGTGCGTTTAAGATCACAGGTCGCGATATTGTCCAGAACCACCACGTGGTATTAAAAACTTGGATGAAAGAAATCCGTTGGATAATAAAAGAAAGAATTATATCCTGGTGGCGGAAGAGCAAACTGTCTGAGCAAAAATGTTAAAATATGAACATTTTGAAGTGTCATTTCTATTTCTTTCAACTATATAATGTTTTTAAAGAGGGATTTTGAAATATTATTATGACGGTAGTTTTTTCTGGTATATCTAGAGGAGTGATGTTTAAAAATGTCGAAATTTTTTATTTTATCAGTGATGAATTGTCATAATTTAAGAATGAGTTATTCAACTGTATTTTTATACTTTCAATGTAATTTACTTCATCTTACATACTTTACAGTTCTAATGAGAAATATGAAACAAGATATGATGAACCTAATATGAATTTATATAAGACGCAGATTGGCGTCCCATATGAAGTAAGTCTTCGATTAGATGTTGATAAAAGTTTACTCTAAATCTCCTGACATTGATTATGTGAACATGTGCCACGTGGCCTATTGACTAAATATTATTGTCTTTGAACACTGATATAGATTTAATCGTAAATATTCAATATTGTAAATGGTAACTAATTGTCTATATAAGTAAATTTGATTTATAGTTGTAAAAACAAAGAGAATAAAGAAACACAGAAGCGCATCGAACTAAATAATGGAAAGATTGGTGGAGAAAAAAGGGACAGAACATATCATATAATGTAACAAATATTAATTAAAGATAATGATACAACGAATAAGATTTGGGAATAAGTTCGTTTTCTTTAAAATTACTTTTTAATACTACAGTACTAAATAACAGCACTCAATGCATTTATCATGAGTCAGCATGTCGTTTAAGAATAATAGCGTTTTGTGAACAACAAACCAGTGGCGTAATCGTCCTCATGTTCTTTGAATGAAGTGTCCTCGTCATCAAAATCAGTAACACTTAAATCATCACGTAGGCTGTCATTCATATCGATAGCTTCGTATAAAGGCTCCTCTGTCTACAATAAACTCCAAAATATAATAATCGCAAGCCTAAGTACCGGTACCAAAATTGTTTTTTGATTTTTTTATCAACTAAAATTTCTATGCTAGATCTTGAAAGAAAACATAGTCTGTAAGCAAACTCTTGATTTACACTGTTTGTTAGTGGTATTCCTGGGTATAATGTAGGAAATGAAAATACTAATTGTATAAGTGAAATTGCATGTATTTTCTATAAAATATTGTTTCCTGTTTTTACAATATTCTGCACATTAATTATTTAAAGGACGGATGACTGAAATAAATTGCAAAAATGTTAAAAAAGTCGACACGATCTTAATCTTATATCAGATGGAAATCATACAGTGAAGCAAATCGTACCTTTTTCTGCTCTGGTTTCTTTTTCTTAATTTGTCTTATGCGATCAATGAATACCCGGAATTTTCCTTTAAAATAAAAGGAAAAACTGTTACAAATATTGCATTAAAAATAATCAGGTAAACAAGAATTTGCCATTTTAGATTGTTGCATTTTTTAAATAAGATGTTTAAATGATAATTGAAAATTCTTTGGGACATATTTTAGTCAGCTTGCTTATCTCAATAGGAAAAGCATTGGGTTTATAATACAGGCATCTCTCGTTTTATTTCTTTGTTATAAATTAACTTTTACTTTGAGTCATTCATCTCTCAACATTGATTCAAAAATCATGTGGTATAAGAAGTCGGTCACATGCAATAAAATTGGCAATTACTTGTTACTTATTCAGGAAAGCGTAAAGGTGGATCGTAGGCCCAGATTCAACCAAAAATTCATGTAAATATCGGCGTATTAAACGACCAACAAACAGAACACTCATAACATTTTGCAACGTTATCTTATCATTATTTTTTTATTTCTTATTTATCATAAGTCATTAAAACAAGTTTCCGTATCGAACACATTCTCCTAAAAATTGATGAAATGTCATAACTGCTTCTTCTGGAATATACATCAACACAACTAGTGTTTAAAAAAACCCATACAAAACAACACTTCAAACCCATTTATTGAAAGTAACTTGTATGTTGTCTATATAAAAATGTTCTTTACTTTTAGTCTTTTTTATAACGAATCTACATAAATAACTTCAAAATAACCATGGTAATTTCTTTTTTAAATAGCTTTATTTCATTTAATTTCATTCCAAAATTCACTTACCCTTCTTTTTTACGTATAAATCACTCCCGATGTCATAACTTTCTTCTTGTCTATTATCTAAAGTGAGTTCTTTTCTTTTATTCCCTAAAAAAGGAATCAAAATGCATCAAAATACATTTATTAGTAAGAGCCCCGAACCATAATATGTCATTTTAAAGTAAGTTTTCCATAACAAAAAGGCAATGGTTCTTATTACCGTTTGCAACCTTGACCTAACTCATAATTTACAATAAAATAGATAAAGACCTTTTCAAACCATCACAAGGTTTTTCATAGGATCAGTTATTGCTAATGATGGAAGAATCACATTTACAGGAGATTGAAGGTAAACATTATCATTATATAATCATTCAATATTGTGCCAGAACGGGATAAACTTGCAATCATTTTTTATTTTCAGTGCAAATAGAGCTATGTAGGTTTGGTGAGATAACTCTAACACATAGATCTAATCGACATTTGATCAAATATATTTTGTAATAACTCAACACAACAATAAGCACATGCTCACGAGCAGTGCAGAATGTGGTGATATTTTAAATTTGGTAAACTCTTTAATGTGTGTCAAATTACATCAATATTTTGGTTACAAAATGCCCCAAAACGCTTTTGTACTAAACAACAATAAGGCAGTTAGAATTGTCTTTACCACAGGCCACTGACCTTGGAAGATTATTTCCCGCATATCATAATGGTATTTCCGTTTTACATATGCCGGAAATTTCATCTAGCATGGAGGTGCCAGATGAGTCGCGTGCTAAACAATGGCTTCATTATACGCATCTTATCAATGGACATATAAAATTTTGATGTTAGATAAAGTCTTTGAACCGAAATTATTATATATATAAAAGTTATTGTAAAAATAGTTGATTTTTAAATATACGCGATGAATTTATGAAAAATCGAATATAGACTCTATATGGTTCCAAGAAAAGAAAAACTGGTTCAACTATACCCGCCTCTTAAAATTCCATTTTGTTTTGTTCCGCCCATTGTTTTCTCGTTTAGGGCACACGCTTTTTTTACTGGGGGGGGGGGGGGGGCATTTTTCGCCGCTTTTCATGGAATGACACTACTGTGTCACATTGAAGGTTTCATGATAACCGCCGTATGAACACATCTGCGGATGTTTCTAAATTCAAAATTTTACCATTTCATGTTTAAATGTTGAATTCTGCTTAAGCCGATGCTAGGGGGCGTGGACGGTAGTTTGCACTTGACAGTACCGTCCATGAACAGGCTCAATCAAACCGAGCCTTTTTGCAACATTTTCAATTTTGACGTGTTAGGCCTTCTTTAGGGATTCTTATTTTCTCTATTTTATTCACTGGACCTAAGTCCCTGTGATTTTTTCTTGTTTCCCTGTTTGCAGAACACTCTAACTGGACGTCGATATGACCCTCGAAGTGAGTAAGGTAGTGCCATTTTCCAGTGTCAGCAAGGTGTGCCAAAATAAGCGTACTTATTTGCCTTTACAGAGTGAATTTAAAGGCTAAAAATGTATTTCTTCGAAGGGTTATATGGATGATATATGATGAATGTTCCTCGTATAATGAAAAGTGAAACATTTTATTTCAGTCCCGGTGTTGTGGCAGCAGTTTCCTCAAACCCTAGATAAAATGTAATATCAACTATTCAAGAAATTGTCAATATATTTGAAACCACTGTGAAAAATAAATTATAAATGTTTGTGCAATTCAACGTTTTACTAAGTTTCTGATAAATCTGTATTAAGATAATACTGGTGCCGAAAGATAACATTAGTTTTGTTTAAAAATCAAGTAATCCATGGAGCAAGACCCATTTAAATCCAGGAGACATGATTCGAGAAAACTGTAAGGACTTTCAAATGCCTAACATTACACTAAAAAGATATGTTCCCAAACTTAACTCTATAAAGATTGATGGTCCCAAGCAACTTACAACTAACATTGCCTGAGTCCACGATTTGAGCAAATAGTGAATATATAAAATTTGACGAACAAATAAAAAATATCTCAATTCAACTAAAAATGCTACCCCTTGGACATTGCAAAAGCTCTGTGACTATCTGTCATCATTTGAACTGAGAGTTCCGCTTGAAAAGGGCACTTGTCAAACCCTCGAACAATTATATTGTTTCAGTTAAAAATTGTGGTAAATGTTAAGCACTATATACTTGTTTTGTTGTTGTTGTTTATTTTTTAAATTAATATTTCACTATTTTAGCAAACCTTTTTCACGATCATACTTTGGATTTCGTCATGATATAAAGAAATCAAATCGTTCAGTACCACATCATTGTTGTGTTTGTGTTATTTTTAGTGTAACCTATTTGGCATTATCTAGTTGGGTTGTTCCAATATTCCTACTTGATTAATTGTTGAATCACCCTAGGGTTATGTTGCCTGCTTTTTAACTTTGTCTTCTAAAAGTCTTATCTGCGATATGCAGCCTAATAACCTCTGATCTTTCTGAATTCCATTTTGATTAGTTCCGCCTATTGTTTTCTTGTTTATGACATACGCTTACTATAACTTGGGGACCATACGCCGTTTGTCAATAAATAACAAAGAAGTGTCACTTTGAAGGTTCCATGCGAAAGTAACATCATGTTGGTTTTTTTAAATCTACTCTAGGGCGTTTTATTATGTTCGTGTGCAAAAGCCATTGGTGTTAAATAATAGAGACATTTTGTGTAGCAAACATTTCGAAAATGGACAAAAACTTTATAAAACAACATTATTTACCATTTTAAGATTTTATAACAAGTATTGTCGAGTAAATTCTCTTTTTAGCACGACTTATTTTATTTTTTTGATAAAAGAGGTATTGTAACAGTTATGTCGGTGTCGCCATTGCCGTAGATGTTCCCATCCGCAAACTTGTACCTTGATGATATTTTTTTAAGTTCTTGGTGGATTGTATTTATACTTGCCCACACCAACCCTTTGGACTATACCTTTTAGTAGTCTAGACATACATTGACCTTCATTTATAAATGACCTTGATCTTCAAGGTAAAATATTAAAATTTTGCTATTAGTGGCTGTAACTTTGTTATATTTGAATAAATTGTCTTCAAACTTGAGCATATTTTTTAAGAATAGACCTTAAAGTAAACAAGACAGACCTTGGCATTCTTTCATAAAATTAATGACAAAAGTCTAAATTGTGCTTGTTTTTTTTGCTATTAGTGGCTATAACTTTGTTATTGATGAATGGACTGGCTTCAAACTTAAGCATAATAATCTATCAGGATAACCCTTTACATCAAGTAGTCAGATCTTGACCTTCTCTCATAATTGACCTTGACGTTGAAGGTAAAATTTTTTTTTTTATTTTTTTTTCCTGTAACTGGCTTAAACTTGTTATTATTGAATATATTGACTTCATATTAAAACAGAACATTCTTAAGATACGATCTTCATGTATATCAGTTAAATTTTTGAATGTTCACTGAGTTTTGCTACAATTGACTGTAACTTGGTTATTAATAACAAATGGATTATCTTCATATTTTGACAAAACAACATTTTGGACAAGACCTTCTAAAAAGGCTGACATGACCTTGGTCTTTAGCTTTAAATTACATTGACCGTTTGGGTCAAATTATTGAATTTTGGTTCAATTGTCATAATTTTGTTATTTAAGTACTAATTTGATTTAAACTTGGACAAAACAAGACTTGTTACTGGACAAACATATTCAATAATTTAGATGTGACCTTGACATTTAACCGACATTGACTGCTAAGGTAAAATTAATAAAATTTTCTTGTTTTCATTTACTGGCTAATTAACTTCATAGTAAAACACAACATTTTTTAGGTCAGGACCTTCATAGATGTCAAACTCAAATTGACCTTGACTCATGTCTGACCTTGACATTGAATGTCAAATTATTTAACCTTTACTGACATTTGCTATTATTGGCTGTTACTTTGTAGTTAATAAATCATTTGTTTTCATACGTTGACAAAACAACTTTTTTATTTTTTAAAGGTTGAATTGACCTTGACCTTCAGGAATCAATCACCTTGACCAGCAAGGTCAAAGCTTGAATGTTGGTTAAATTGTCATATTTTTGTTATTTATATATGGATTTGATTCATATGTGGACAAAATAACACGTGTGACCGAACAGACCTGTGTAATAATTTAGATATGACCTTTAAATGATCTTGACCGTCAAATAATTTGTTCCCTTTCAAAGAACAAAAAATGAAATGGATTCAAAAAATTATCAGAGTATATTTGGAGGACTTTGGCATTTTGTAATAATTGAATTATTAGGACATTTTTGTAGATATTATTAAGAAAACGTGATATCATTTAAACAGAATACATTCTCTTTTGCAGTTTTTCCGATAAACTACATGTATGCTAATACTTTGGTTCCTTACGATGCGTTTTCATGATCGACTGATATCTGTTCTAAATAATTACAGTTTTCTATGTGCAATTAGATGATATAAAAACATAATAGATGAATACATAGGAAAAATACTTATTCATCATATCACTTAACCACACCATGGCATTGTTTAAGTGTTAATATTCAAATTTTTTCTTGTATGTAATAAGAGAAATAATCCACAGTTAAAGAATAAATAGGTTTATTGTTGATTTGTCATCTGTCTGAATTACTACATTCTTTAATACTTTAAGATACAAGAAATAAGAATCCAAAGAAAGTAAATAAAAAAAGCAAAAATTAAAAAAAATACTACATACTAGGTTGGATTGAGCCTGTTCATGGACAGTATTCTAAAGTACAAACTGACGGCCTCGCCCTTAGCAGCGGCTTAAGTAGAATTTAACGTTTAAACACGAAACGGTAAAATTTTGAATTTAGAAACATCCGTTGATGTCATGGATAATGGCAGATATTAGTTACAGCAACAACATTTTACTATAAATAGCAAAACATAATACACGAAAAGTTTAAACTATCCTTTTCGCATATATCTACAACATTTCTTACTATTTCTTACTGTGCGCATGATAACTGGTCCGATATACTACCTGTATGCTAATACTTTGGTTCCTTACGATGCGTTTTCATGATCGGCTGATATCTGTTCTCTACGTATTTACAATTAGTTACTGGTATGGTTGAAAGCAGTTCTATTACGTGAACAGTTTACAACATCATACATAAATTATGCGTATGGTCATAGCATTCAAAAATAGAAATAAGGAAGGACAGTTCTATATACTAATACAACTAAATTTAGAAGACTATCTTATTCGAGATGTGTGTTTTTTCAGTAATATGTTATGGTGTGTGCGAAAAATAGCTTAATTAGATCTAGACACAGCTTCATACTGGACAGTGTAGAATGTATGTGACATGACCAATCTAACGAATGATCCGCTAGACACACATGGCAATGCACATAGGCCTCCTGTATGTTTTCCTTGATTATGGAAGATTTTATCTGAGTATAGTCTTAAGCCCATATATATGTGAAAAATGTTGCATGATATTTAGCAAGGAAGGACATTCCACCAATCAGCAAGACATTGAGAGAGAAAACCATATACATGATTAGGATATCATAACGATTTTATGAGTAAGATTTATAAAAACAGAAACTTCAACACGATATTTTACATTTATTTCAATATTCAGCAAGTGTAAATAGTGTGTGAAATAACATACATGTATATAGACCTTAAATTACAATACTTACGAAAAACAATCGGAAATTAGCATCACGAAATTTAACATTCGAGCTACAAACTATCCAAAATGGATATCCATTGTACACATAATCTCTCTTATAGTCTTGTTCAATATTGTTTGAGATGTTTGTTTGAAATAAAATGTCAAAACTGTCAAATTCTTTCTTTTGATAAACTAAGAAGCATGCCCTTGGTTTGTCCTAAAACTAACAAAGACAATATCAGTCGTTCTTCCACCGGGTGACGCATTCTAAAAGATTGCACTCCGATTGACGTTTCCTGTTCCTAAAGTGCCTTGAAATTCATTTCTTATTTTTCCTTTGCCTGGTGATCGTAATCAGGTTCTTGGATTCTGAAATACTTAACCTTTTTCCCTTATTTAGACGTTTTTTGACGGCTTTTTGTCCCCCCAGTTTTGAGGCCTCAAACAGTAGAAAAATGCACTATTTAGGTCCCAAACACTGTTTTTCGTTTGAGAAATGTTGTTAAAAAAAGTGACCACTTTTTCTGCGCTGACCCCTTCTAAATGTTACATCAGGGGATGTGCCCCCTTCTGTTTTTGGAGTTTGAAGGGGGCGGGGCGGTAGTCCCCTTCATCGCCAAGAAAATTTTGGACATGTGACATGCTAGGATGGCCTCAGGTCGATGTAAGGGTAACTAGTAACCGACGCTGAAAAGCCTTTTACTCTATCTCAATTCATTGAGATGTTGCAGCACTTTGAAATCAGTTTTGATGAAAAAAAACAAACAATGCAAAATAGTGATTTTTGGCAATTTTGAGATGAACAATGGTAGTAAAATATAGATTGTCAAATCAAATTTCTGTTTTGCACTTCATGAAACTGCATAGAATTCGAAATAAAATTTTCAGAAATAAAATAGAAAGTAGAAAAATCTACAGAGTACAAAAATATCACGAAACTCAGAGATCAAAGGGAAGGTAATTCTTGAAATAAAGGTGACGGGATTATGTGAGAAATTCAAAGTGTAAGCCCAACTCCTCCCCAAACCTCCAAAAAACAGATAATTTATGGTATATAGTTTCAAGTAGCTATTAGCGCTGTCAACACTATCGGGTCATTTGAAGCGTACAGTAATCTTATTATATCAAAACTCGTCATACACATAAATATATTGTCAACAGTACGTAAATATATATCGTAGCACAAAACATATTTATTTGCTGTGTAGCTCAATAATGAGCATTTACATAAGCTGTAAGTAGAAATTATCAAGTAACATTCACGGTATTGGCTTTAATTTTATGACTTTGTCACGGACACAGAATCAGTTACTGCCAATTTCCTTTCAATAACGTTTTGACCATTGTACCTGAATTTCTATGATTTCGAAGAAATACATGTAGGTCAAAGTCCCACATACTCCACACAAAATTCACAGTTTTTATAAATATACTCACTCTGACATGTGTTTACAGTCTAAAATCCGCCATTATTCCGTATCGCACCATTTCACCTTGCTTGAAAAAAGTATCGTACCGATATATGTTCAAGCCTCTATATGTTGTAAACTACACCCAAAAGATGCAAAGCTTTATACCCTTTAAGGTATGACCAAGCTAATGGGCACTTTTAGGAACTACAAAATTTACATCAAATGTTCGTTATATACCTTTAGGAGACATTTCTGTCTATTTTTAACAAAATGTACCGTAAGGACACTTCTCTGAACTATATCTTGGTATTAAGATGGACTCTTTATAAGAATTAAGGAGCCTTTAAATAATATATGATATCATCCTAATGAAAATGTTTTCCTATTGACTACTGATAAGAAACAAATAATAACATCCAGCTTACAAACCATACAAGCAAACTGATTGTTTCTACTAAAATTGTTTAGAATTTGTTCAAAAATCTTAGTCTACCAACTTTAACACTAGTTTGACACTTTTCCTGCTTTAGAAGCCGTATTTAAATACCCTAAAATTCTCTTCAAAGATTGCCTAAATATTTTCAAAGGTGCATTGTTATATCTTGATAAGTATTAAATACTTTTACCATTCTGGTTTGATATAATCAGAGGTGCATTGTTATATCTTGATAAGTATTAAATACTTTTACCATGCTGGTTTGATAGTTTGAGACAAAATTTTATTTATCATATTTAGCATTATTTAGCCAGTAATTAAGAGGGTTTCTACCTGAAATCCATATCGATATTTTCGTCAAAACTCGGTATGTGTATTAACGACTGACAGATATACACATTTTGTATTTAAAGATATTAGATTTATTGATTGATTTAATCTCTTCTTTGCGGCTTTATTTATTTATTCCCTAACAACTGAAATATTTTTGCTATCGGTTCAAGGACGGTGTGAAATCAGCTTTCATTTCTCTAGTTCTTTTTTTATTATTTTTTTTTAAGATAATGCAAACGTTCACTCTTTTCTCCATATGCTTGATAACAACTAATCACTGATAAATAATACCTTTTTATAATATTACTTTTCAGGTGATTTTAAAAAATATCTTCTACGTCTTATTGAATTACACATTAATATTAATCAAAATATTAAAATTATGTAAGAATGAAAATTTCATTAGCTTTATAATACTTCTTAACATATTGCTAAATTAATATTTAACTGATAAAAATCTTTGGATCAGCCAAGTGCCATTACTGAAGTGCAGTTATATAACTTTGTACAAGAAATCAAAATATATTAAAATGATTAGCAATAGGTTCTATCAGCTTATAAATAATTGAGTATAATAATTATGGTCATCCATCACCACTTATTTGTTTTGACTGCTGTGCAATATTGAATTACTGTTGACTCCTCAGCTAATTTGCATAAATTCATAATGCACTGGGTGACTTACACAATTCAGTATGTTTATTTTTGTCAATATAATCTGATTTTTCCTTATCATTTTTAGTTTTGCGATGAAAATAATTATGTAATTCGAGTATTCAAAGCAATGTCAACCTAGTTTTGGACATTATTTTAGTACATCTACTTACCACTCTTAATGTTAATCTATCGGTTATTATCAATGAGTATAACCTTTTTTGCTAAAAATTTCCAATATAAAGAAATCCTTTTAAAAATCAAAACATAGAACTTGAAAAGTTTCTATAAATGTTTTGAATGGAATTTCTTGTGCCTGTATTTTATTGATAATATAGTGTACGCTAAAGTGAGTTAAAGAAGTATCTACGGAGTAATGAATAAGTGTGTTAAATGAGTGTTTATGGAGTAATGAATAAGTGAGTAAAATGAGTATCTTTCAGGTAATGAATATGTGAGTTAAATGAGTGTCTATGGAGTAATGAATAAGTGAGATTAAATGAGTGTCTAAGGAGTAATGAATAAGTAAATTAAAAGAGTGTCTATGGTGTAATGAATAAGTTAGATTAAATGAGTGCCTATGGTGTAATGAATAAGTGAGTTAAATGAGTGTCTATGGAGTAATGAACAAGTGAGTTAAATGAGTATCAAGGGAGTAATGAATAAGTGAGTTAAATGAGTATCTATGGAGTAATAAATAAATGAGTTAAAATTAGTATCTATGGAGTAATGCATAAGTGAGTTTAATGAGTATCTATGGAGAAATGAATAAGTGAGTTTAATGAGTATCTATGGAGTAATGCATAAGTGAGTTTAATGAGTATCTATGGAGTAATGAATAAGTGAGTTTAATGAGTATCTATGGAGTAATGAATAAATGAGTTAAAATGTGTATCTATGGAGTAATGAATAAGTGAGTTCAAATATGTATCTATGGAGTAATGCATAAGTGAGTTTAATGAGTATCTATGGAGTAATGAATAAGTGAGTTTAATGAGTATCTATATACTACTGGCTAAGTGAGTTCCAAAGAATATCTGCGGAGTAAAGTGTTAAATAAAACACTTGTAAATATTTTAGTTAAAAAAATACCTGCAAAAAGTCCCACTTCCTCCTTCTGTTTCCTACTTTTTCTCACGAAAGGAACATCCTGATCAATGTTCTTTATTTCTGTAATCATTACTTCACCATTTTCGTCAATTATCTGATACATGTCTTCGTCTGCAAAAATTATGTTTTCCTTCAAATCAACTTTAATTGCAGTGTCCAACATTTTAAGCCTTTTTAGTTTGCCACCTATATCTAAAAACCAGAGTTCATTTACTTTCTTCAGTCTCCAGTTTGCATTGCCGCTTATGTCTGTCTCGATTTGTTCAGCCATAACTTCTGAAAAATAATATATGAAGAATATCGATATTATTTTAGAAAAAGCATTTTTCCGCAAATAAAGGAAACATATTTGTTAGAACTAAAATACATATTCCAAACTAATCACTGCCTTAAGAAACATCGATATTTCACATCATCGTGTTTGTAAAAAATATTCTAATGCAAGAATTATTACATACAAAAAAAACCCAACTAATGTGCGTATTAAGGATAAAAGTTAATATTACTTGCAATGTTATATATATCTGAAATCCTGAATATATTTTACGAAATACACTTTAAGTACCCCTTCACATTTAACTATTTGAGATAAGAAAATAGGTTAAATAAACATGAATGGATCAAGTCACATAATGATATTTTTCATAAAAAATTATTCAGTTTGAAATTACTTCTGAATTTCAGTTTATTTCTCACATAGTATATTTATTCTTTCAAGAAACGAAACAAATTTTTACTCTTTTTAATAATTTGAAGTTTTTGATATACAATTATTGATTAGTGTGCCATTGAATGTGATGCCATATTTACCGGCAGATGACATATCGACCTTGGCGACAGCCGAGGTCAATATAACTTTCTGCCGGTGAATATCACATCATATTCAATGATTCAGTGGTCAATAATTGTTTTATTATATAAAAAGGCTAGAGATTAAAAAGAAATACAAAATGTACAACCTTACACATGTACAACATTTGCCTGATTCGTTGAAGCGCGGGAAAAAAGATGCACGTGTCAAACGTGCAACGACTAGGAAACGCTGCACGTACATTTATACTCATCATCCCGGTGTAGCTTTTAAGTATAATAGTAAAGTAATTTTATTTTAATCGGTAAATATGCCATAATGAACAAAACACAACAATTATCTTTTTAAATACGCACGTGTAATTAACCGTCTACGATGTAGAGTCTCAATCTATTTTTAGACTGGGAAAATCCAATTTAGCCAGTGAATATACTACTATACCACTGAATATGATTTTGTAAAATGTTCTGTTGACTACTGTATGGACCAATGACATTGCACTTATATTAAGATCATATTATAAACATTTTTATGGGTTTGTCTTCACCAAAACAAGCAATACAAAACAATATAATACAATAATAGTTTATTCAACATTAAAAATCCCGCAACTCATTTTTTATGGTTTTATGTCATAAATATAATGCTCAAATGAAAATTTATTAATATTGTAAGTTCCAAGAAGCATTATTTGTAAAGATATTATCGAATTTACACTTTCATGTTAATAAAGAGAGGTAATTAGGTATTTATTTTCCATAAAGTCTAAGTCATTTTTTTCAGTAAGAAATGAATGCATATATTTTAACAATTACATATAATGTGGACAAATATTTTGTAAATATTTTTCATATTATTTGATGTTTGAGAGAAAATTGTTTTAGACGCATAATTATATACATAAGTATACAAAATTTCACCTAAGTTTGGTAACAACCTTAATTACAACATACAGGATCTTTAAACATTTTACAATGTTTTTAGCATACAACGTATATATATTATACAAAGAGAACATGGTTTACAGAAGAGTAAATGATTGTCAATAATGATTAATACTTAATTGATTATAATTAACTTTTAAGAAATATTTATCATTTAAATATGAATTGAATAAGCTAAAAAAAGGTTTCATTGGAGTCCACTGACTTCAAACCACTTGCCCCTCACCGCTGTAGGATCGAATCCCGACAGGGACTCTGGATTCTTTCATGTGAGGAAGCTAGCCAGGTAGCTTACGGAACGTTGGTGGTTTTTACTCAGGTGCCCGTTCGTGTCTAAAAGAGTGCACGGAAGGGCACCCGAGGTCTTTCCCCACTAGTAAAGCTAGTAATAATCTAGTAATACATCAACAAAACCCGGAAAAAAAATCGTGTTTATGAAAACGCTGTAATAACGTCGCGACTTAAATTCGCATAGAATATAAATTTAGCTTCATTATAAATAGTTTTTTTCGAACGAGTTCATAACAGAACCCCAAATGTTTGATATTCGGGCAGTGACAGGGGTAAGGCTTGAAATATTTTTCCTTAAATCACGATAAAATAGGACAAACTAGAAGATAATGGTATTCCGATTCGATTTAATTCATATTAAATGTCTTCCCTTTAAGTATTGTTGGATCTTCCGGTTTCAATATTTAAGCTATGTAACGAACTTCTAGATCTAGTTAATGCTATTCGATGTTTATTTTCGTAGATGATTTTAAGGTATTTCTCAAGCTCGAATTCATATTAATATATCGCATATGAATGAATTTCGATTTCCCCTTACCATGTTTGCAGGTATGACTCATACAATATTTTCTTAATTATATCAAAAGGGATGTCGATTTCAAATTGTTGGTCCCAAATATAGCTAAAACTATGGCTATCTAGTATAGTCTTGATTTGGTACGCCTTATTATTTCGTGCGTAATGTCTATTAAATCAGTGTCATGTTTAAGCATTAGTTATCAGAGAATTTGACTTTTGCGATAATATTGAAAATAACCAGAAATGAAAAATAAATGTAAATGCCATAATATTCCGGTCATAAAAATTCTTGAGACAAATTTTTAAACAACATTATGTTAATTGAACAATTTTTTCAACAATCCCTATATCAGATCTTAAAAAAAAGAGCGGCATATCAAAGTTTAGACACAAATATGATTTATTCTAACACTCACGTGATTTTGTCACTATAGACAAAGAAGGAAAAAACTGGTGTTAAACTGACAATAAACACCGGTTAGGGACTACTTGTATATGCGATGTTATGTTTTCACCCTCGATTGTATAGTTTACAAAGCATTTTAAAGCAACAATAAAAAGCATTTTTATTTATATTTTCAGTTCTTATAATGTTTTCTTTTCATACAATACCGAAATAATATCTCACATACACTACATAACATATTAGATCCATATCATTTAATAAATACTTTGACAAAACGGCGCCAATCCGTTAGCAGCGTAAATGACGTCATCCAAAGTAAACAACTCATTCATAAACAAGCTGACCTTATTTCATACATACAAGAATGATAAATATGGCACTGATGTAAACACGATACGACGTAAGTTTTTATTGTTGAAAACTTGATAAAATAACGTTTTTTTTCTTATTATTTCTTTTGTTTGATAATTTCTATATCTTCGCAACAGTAGGGTGCGAAAATCGAACAGCGTTATACGAAAATCACAGGCAAAAGTATCGGACCTGGGAAGAAAAAATATGACCAGATTGATAAAAAAAACCTGTGTTCATCTTAAAAGTGTCAAAAAAAACAACAAAAAAAATGTATATAATGACCCCCTTTAAAAATATACTATAAGTTAAGTCAGTAGCATCTAATACACATGAGATTCGAGTTTCAAACATTTACACGGTCTTTCAATCGCTTTCTACGCCATTATGCATCTTGTGTGAAACGTTCCGGTTTTCGTTGCTATTGGCCAATCAGAAGACTCGTTACAAAATATCGAACAGCTGATTGACAATGGCGTAGAAAGTAATCTAAAGACCGTGGAAATGTTAGAAATTCAAATTTTGCGTGTATCAGATGCTACTGACGGTTGTGAGTGGTCCAACTTAATGTATTTAGTAATATTATTTAGTAAATTCAAGTAATTTTGACCCGTAGTCAGCTGACATACATGTATTAGTCTATGTTTATGTACCGAATTGTTGTGCCGCAATTATGTCTACCAAGGATTTTTAGCACGAAGTCGCTCGTTTCCTGATAGATATTTCACGAACGGGAAGGGCTAGAGACTTGGGGTTGGTCTCATTTTGAAGCTTTATATAAACGTGAAATAGTGATAAAAGTTTTTTTTAATTGTCTGGCCAATTGTTTTCACAACGGCCCGGGAAATGAATCCCTTGCTCGTAGGCTCGAATCTGGAGTTTCCGGCCTTCTCTTAACTTATAGTATATTTTTAAAGGGGGTCATTATATACATTTTTTTGTTGTTTTTTTTGACACTTTTAAGATGAACACAGGTTTTTTTTATCAATCTGGTCATATTTTTTCTTCCCAGGTCCGATACTTTTGCCTGTGACGAAAATCGGCATCGGAAGTTATTTCCGCTTGTAAAATAAGTTTAGTGATTTTCCTTATTTTATCGTCTTAGAATCGAAATAACATCGGCCGGAGAGGTGTATATCGGCTATTTAACACCGGTTTTGTCGTTTTGATGCGACAAAATTAACCACTCAGGCCTACGGCCTTCGCGGTCAATTCCTACGCATCAAAACTCCAAACCGGTGTTAAATAGCCGATATACACCTCTCAGGCCGATGTTATTTCTTAAGTAAATCGCGTCATTTTTCAAAGTTATAATAATCATAGCGATTCTCCTAGCATTGATTAAGTTCACAATATGACAAAAGTGGACGTTTCAAGTTCAATTATATGAAACTGTTATCATAGCATACTTATTAAGACATTTTAAGTCACAAAAAACATAATATGTTAAACGCACTTGAAAATTTACAGAACATAAAATCATGTAAAAAACATATAAAAATATGTCCGATAAAAACGCGTTTGTGATTCAAATGATACCCACTTGATTAACGCTATGCATTTGCAGTCTCTTAAAAGCAAAGTCAATGGTAAAATTCCCAACCGCGAGATCTATCGGGGAAAATGAATATTTATTTATATGACGATCAATCATTGCGCGTTTTTGAATGAAATATGACAGACAAAAACGCTTTATATTCTAGAACAATTTTCTCCATTAACTAGGGTATTTAATAACACAGTCTCTTCTAAAGTCGTATTTTATCATCTGGGTTAGCTGCGACTTGAAGGCTACTGAGCATCTCGTATTGTCGACAGTTGTTTTGTATTATTAAAAATGTAAGTGTAATACAAACCTCTGTCACATGTAGATTCTCTTAAAAGTTTTAATGACGGTTGTGAAAGCTGTTAATATAATGCATATTAAGATAATATCTGATACATCCGAGAATTGATGGATTTTTTAAATTTATATTCACATT